CCGGCCGCTTGTGTCACCCTTCTCCCACGCGTGCGTATAATCAATCCACCAGAGGACATTCACGAGCGTCGTCTCTGCGGGATCCCGGAGCGGGAGGGTGGACCTCGCCGAACAGGTGCTGGACACCATGCGAGCGGAAGGGGTGCCTCCCAACGCCGCCACGTACAACGCCGTCATCACCGGGTGCTCTTGTGGCCCGCCGCCGCCGCCTCGAGGGGGCAGGGGTGGCGGCGAGGTGCAAAGAGCGCTGCGGCTGCTGGAAGAGATGGCCGCGGACTCGAGGCCCGAGGCCCAGCCGGAGGCGCTAAGCTACACGCTGGTGCTGAAAGCGTGCGGGAGGGAGGGGCGCTGGGAGACCGCGCTGCAGCTCTTGACGGAGATGCAGGTACGCCTATTTGGCTTGTCGAACGCCTTCACTGAGTAAGAGCTGCTTCTTGTTGGAGCTGCAGTTTCATGTGAAGGAGGCCCAGTGTTACCCGTGGGCTCCGTGGTGGTGCTTTTGCTTCGACCAGCACATGTGTTACCCTTGATGTCAGTTGTTGTTTCTATCAACCTTCCATGATATGAAGTAGGTGCGAGCGAGCCCCCTATTGGTAAAAAATCAGCTTCAAGCAGCACACCATGTTATCCCTTGGTGTTTTTTTCAACCTTCTAGGTTCAAACCCAATACCTGTGTTGCGACGTAAAATGTTTTCAAGGCCATTTGTTGGCCAAACTTGACGGGTTTTTGTGGCTGCAGCGGAGATGCAACAGACACTAAGACGAAAAAGGAGATGTGGTTAGTTTGCGTGGTGCCCTCGTAGTACACGTGGTGAGCTCACAGATTCAACATGTGTTCCAAGTGGCTAGTGGCGATATACTCAGAAATTCACGGGCCGCACCCAGAACATGCAGTGAATCGCTAGGGCCAAGGAAAGAAGAGGCACGCGGTGATAACCGGGCCGGTTGAGCGTCTTTTGTCGGGCAACGCCCAAGCTTGTTCCGTGCCAAACCACCCGTCTGATTTCGAGCCTCTTTGAATGTTTTTATATGAAATGAGAGGAAAAATCCACCCCTTTTTGGACGGCGGCAAAAAACGTCCCATCCGTTTCAAACACGAAGCTCGCACGCTGTATCCTATATATCGCACGGGTGGGTTGGATTGAGCGCGACATCCAGGTAAACACATGCCTTTCATGGTCGAGAGACTAACCTGACTGATTCCACGTCACTCCTGCTCTGCTCGAAATCGTAGGTGCTAGCTAGTCGCATATCACCAGTGGTGCGCACATGCAATACCACCGTTTGTCTGACAACGGCCTTACGGCACAGCCGAAACTTTCGGTCCTCGAAAACAAAGAGCAACGATTCGGCTCCCTCGCTCGCCCGTCCCGTTCAAACGTAACCTTAGGCGAAGGGTCTGGAGCCAACCGTGCTGAGCTTTCGGTACGCCCTAACGGCTTGTGCCAGCAGCAGCAGCAGCAGGGTGGTGTCGGGCGGGAGCGGCGAAGAGGACTTTGCCGGCGTGTGGGAGCGCTGTCGTTCGCTGATGGAGGCCATGGGCAGGCTGGGCCTAGAGGCGGACCGGCTGTGCTACAAGCACGCTGTAGATGCCGCGGCGAAGGTGCGAGCGCGCCGGCGGTGATCGATCCACCTGCTGCCACTACTGGACCGCTTCAAGGGAGGAAGTCTAGTTTTGTTGTGTTGCGGTGTTGCGCTGCATTCGTGTTGCAATTGTGGCATTGGTAGGGCGAGGCTCTCCTCGTCGTTTTTTATTTTATTTTGTGCGATTCGCTTTGCGTGTGGTTCTACTATGGTGATCGATCGCGATGACAGCTTGACCAACGAAAAGAATGTCAAGTCTTGGAACATAACGGGATAGACAACGCAATCCTTGAAAAATGTTGGAAGTATCAGAATAGGGCTGGGCGTCCTTATGTACGCGCTACACGTCTGGTAGCATGTGGTATTTTTGGCCGCAGAAAAGCAGCGTGTTCTAGGGAGTGTATGTGGAATGTTTTTTTTACCACCATGCTTGTGCTTGAACAATTTATTGTTTCGAGATAGCGTCGTCATCTTGAACGGAGACCAAACATGCGTGAGGGACGATTTTTTTCGAGAAGTTTATCCTAACTTAACCGCTTCCCTTGTCTTGTCTTGTTCCCTGGGCCTCTCCACAGGCTGGCGATGTGGACGCAGCCCTCGACCTGATGGATGGCATGGAGAATTGCGAGGGTTTCAGGGGTGCCGTCGAATACAACCAAGTGAGCCTCCCCTTGGACCCCCCTCCGCCTTTCACACCTGGCGTTACTTTTGTCCGTATGCATGGCTACCACATTGATGCAACCTCCCGTGCGCAGTAGACTATGTGCGTGTTCTTCTGCATCATGGAAGTCAACCCTTCATGACGCTCTGGTGGCCGCGTACCCTGACTCTAATTCCTTTCAAGCGTGTTTGTTGACGAAACGGCTTCATTGCCGCATGATACAGAAGTCTTATCACACAACCCTGGGCTGACTTTGAAGGCTCGATCACTTGACGGCAGCAAGAGCGGCAGTGATGAATGGCGGAATTGTCCCGCCGAGAGCTTTTCCGACGACGTATCGTTTGATTTTATGGTACCACGTCTTTTTCGCTGTGGAGCAATCGAGCTTTGAAAGTCGATCCAGGGGGTATGGTATCTCACGTCATGTACTGCTACGGTACTCCCCCCGAGGAGATATCAATCGTTCGCTTGAGTGCGCTTCGCCCCCATGTGCGTACCTGCTGAGCCCCTCCGTCCCGCCGTCGCCCCTATCGTCCTTTTTCGACGCGAACCACGACGCCGAAGATTATCATGGCTTGCGGTCGTAGGGGAGACTGGCAGCGAGCCGTGTCCACCCTGGGTCGAATTCGACGCGCGGGTGGCGCTCCCGACGCGCACAGCTTCGCCATGGCGATGACCGCCTGCGCGAGAGCGGGCGAGTCACGGCAGGCCCTCCGTCTCCTGGACGAGCTGAAGCGCGAGGGGGGAGGGGTGCGGCCGAACACGGTGGTGTACAACACCCTCCTGGCACTGTGCAGGGGGAAGCCACGAGGGGTAAGGGGGGGCGGGGGGGGGGGGGG